AGTCACATGACTTTTTTGAACGCTCATGCGGGATTTATTCGCAAAATGCGTTTCCATCTCCCATTATTCGCATTAAGTCAAAAACCACCTCAAGCGAGCGTAAAAACTTTTTTGCGAATTAAGGGATTTCTTTTCGAAATTTGGCTTTTCCATCACTCGTTTCTCATGCGATACTTCAAAATGCTCATTAAAACAGAGTGATGGAAACATAGCTTGTGATTATTTGAATGTTTGTAACACAGAAATAATAATACTGTGTGGTTGAAAAGACTGCATTGAAGCTGTTTCATACATGACAGCTGCTCTGTTTAGGTCAGCAGCAGCGCGAACGCATATATGAATGTTCAAATCACACTGGTGATACTGTTCGTTCGCTGCACGGACGAACCACGGCTGAAGTCCTGGCAGATCGCCAGGTCGGGTCCTCACAGACGAAGAAAAACAAAAGAAAGAAAAAAAGCACTCACAGGAATCGATAGGCGGAATCCAAATTTAAATTTTACAACAAGTAGCCGATTCCTGACCTTAAGTATCCGATTCTGGAATTGGAATCGATTTTCGATTCCCAACCCTAGTGAGAACTGACACATACTGTATGTGCCTCTGTATCCCATCTTACTCAGATTGCAAAGAGTTTTCGCTGATGTTGAAACTGGGAAATGGAACCCTCAATCTAGGGGTGGATTTCAGGCTATTTCCCTGGCCGTCACACTAGGAATGGCTCTGTTTGGTGGTCTCATTACAGGTGGGTGTACGGTTTGAAAGTGCAGTGAGTGCTTGCTTCCACTAGGCCAATTATTTGATCTTACCAATTTGAAGTTTTGCACTGTTATCATACTGTGCCATTCAAATCAAAGAATTTTAAGTAAATATTCAAATGTTATGAAACGCACATTTGTGCCACACACTGGAAACACATAAACAAGGCAAAATGCATAGAGCTTAATGTTTTATTAATTGTAAAATGGCAAATATTTTCATTTCATTTTCAGTTTGGGACAGAAATAAATAATATAGTAATAATAATACTGTAATATTCACAACAAAAACGACAACAACAAAAATTATCACTGTAATATATTCAGTTTGGTTTGGTTAAAAAACTTTGTGAATGGAACACAGACTAAAGATACACTAAAAACATTGAGTAACAAAACAGAAAATATAAATATTTTGTAATAAATGACATTCAATCCCCCTACACAGCGATTGTTTACAAAGTTTTAAAGAAAATCATACATTAGATTGTTCATGCTTCCCTGTGTATACATGTGTGTTCAGTATATTGTGATTTATCGATCTCAGATCAAACATAATATGTCTGTTTTTCTCAGGGTTCATTCTGAAGCTGCCCATTTATGGTGCTCCTCCAGATACTCACTGCTTTGAGGATGGACTCTACTGGGAGGTAAAAACTTTTCAGTACCATTTTTATAGCATTTTATAGTTTATGCTGTATTCTGTAAGCCTGTTTCAACCATAGATTCCTTACCTGTCCTTGACTTATTAGGCATTATTGCCTAATGTGCAGTATCGTATGACATTGTATGTACAATATGCAGAGACAGTTTTGAGTATTTTGAATGACACTCAGTCTTATCATGTGCTAATAGGAAATGTGAATGTATTTCAGGTACCAGGGGAGGAGGAAGGCCATCAAGAGCTTTACGAAGTGGCCACACCAAACGAAGTGGAAAAACTCAGCAGCTAAATTGTCTGCGTTCACCTGTTTGCATTTGGTCATTACTACATAACCTTGCACATGTCCTGTCACCTGTGACGTTCACTGCAGGTGCCATTTTTTTACTTACACTCTTAAAATAAAATGGTAAACTTTGTTCCAATATTGTTAATATCAGTATATGTTATTATATAAAACTATTAGCCCAGTTTACCTGAGGAACAACATTGAGAATGTACAACAAACCTGTGATTCCTTATAAGACCACTAGATGGTGGTCATGCAGAGCTGAGAATGGCTCTACTGCGCCGTGACAGAGGACAAGCTAGATTACCTTCTAGAAATATTTGTAATTTAAGATAGCCTACTGCAAAATATAGTTTATGCTTTCTCTTTATTTTAAATATGTTTGCAAGAACAATGAGAATCTGTTGCGGGATGTATGGAAAAAAAATTTGTATTCATTAGTTTTTTTTTCTCCTAAAATTGAATAAGAAATGTTATTAATCCTAAACAGCTGGAATTTAATATCTACAACATAAAACTCTCTGTGAGTTACAGGTTTTGTAAAACGTTTCCTATGAGCGCACATTTTATCTTAGATTTCTGGATTATTTGTTTCAAACAAAAAGTTTAGAAATACTGTGAATATGGGACATTAATGAACATGTTTTATTGACTACTAAAATTGGAGGGGAACATTTTTTGATTGATTTAAGATATTAAATGTATATAGTTACATGTTTATCTGTTTTAAAGAAAAAGTGTTTCTTTACCAGGATTATTTCTACTCGGCATAACCTGCGTTTGAACGACAAATTCTGTATGGAATGCCATTCAAATAAATTGTTCAGATTTATATTGCTGTCATTTTTATTTTAATAATCCCTTGAAGGTGTGTGAGAGAAATACACAGTATATTTTTCGAATTGGGAATGTTATTTTTTCACCACGTAGGCTAAGTGATTTTTTTTTCAACGATAAACAACGATGTCAAATCGCGCTGATTCCTAGTGAAGGCGCCGTTTAATTCAAGAATACTTAATGGCGCCTACAGTCACTGCGGAAAGGGTTAACGAAGAGTCCAGATGGTCTCCGTCGGGTAATTAGCACAGTTTCACTTTCTAGGATCAAACGGAGAAGGGAAAGTGGGGGTCTTATTTTGATAGCACGTTATTAGGAGCGCCTGGAGCTCGCGGGCTGTGCGAGGAGTAGCTCTACGCCCCTTTTCATTCGCGCACTGCGTGTTTTACAGAGACGGCGCCGCGGCGTGAACCAGCGCCAAGGTCTTTTCCCAGGCCTCAGACAGATGGACAGCTGGGATGTGAATAGGCGCTAACGCTGAAGTGCTTAATTGCGCTTTATAATCAGCAAAGATGAAGAATGCTAACTGCACGTAATAGGGTATTTACATACTTGATTTGTTTGTGTGTTTTGTTTGAAATGGAGCTTTTTTTGTTTGTTTGTTTGAAAGGGAGATTGAAACCCACGTGATGGACTGATTAATTGTTGTTTTCTAGTCTATTGCTTTTTTTTCTTTTTTTTTTACATAGAGCCATTAAGCTAATTTTAGCACACTCATTCAGTTTATGGGATTTTTGTTTTTAGATAAAACCTAAAAATAACCATTAGAAACGTTATATATAGCTACGTTCTTACTAGGACTGAATTATAGTTACAGAAAATCTAAAGAACCTAAAGAAAATGAGCCATATGCTAACATTAGGGGAACGTTCTTTGTTTGGCATTTACCTTTTAGTAAAACACCTGAATCAGGAATGACCAACTCCTCTGAGAGTTTATTTATCCATTTTCTCTCTAAGAATGTCTCTAAGTGGGTCAGTGGGAGTTTGTGCTGAGGGGAATGTCCTGTGTGAGCTCTGAAAGCCTGTCTGTATGGGGAGAGTGGGTCTCTTTAGCTCACATTAACAGGATTACAGACAGGCTGTGCTCAGGGGCCATGGACCCTTTCAACCGCAGGCCTCCCTCTAATCAGTGCTCACACAAACAGCACAATGAGAAAAATAGAGAGAGAGCTAGTGGATTACAAATACAATGACACTACCTTGCATATATTTATTTGACATTTCTACGAAGACAGCACAACTTTGGCTATGGATATGGATATGTCAATGTGTCCAGCTACAAGGCGCACTGTATTCTATTCTATTCTTACGGAGCTATACTTACACTCCTATAAAGAAAGGTTCCAAATGTGTTTTTTTGCAGTGATGTCATAAAGAACCATTTTTGGGTTCCTGAAAGAACCTTTCAGTGAAGTTTTTTTTTTCTTCGTTTTGTTTTTTGAGTGTGAAGCACATTTAAAAAATCTAAAGAACCTTTTTCCACTATAAAGAACTTTTCACACAATGGAAAAGTTCCATTGATGTTAAGGGTTCTTCATGGAACCTCAGATGCTCATGATGTGTTTCAGTCATTTTGACCCAGAGAGGATTTTCTTTAACCTAAAAATGCTAATTAATGTTATCGCATTGGACTAAACCTTACAGACTTTGCTCACACAGGGTTTAACAAGTTCCCCAAAACGTAATTTTGTGTTTTGGGGTCATTTTTGCCAACCTTGTTACACAGTAAATGACCTGCCTACAAAAAAATTCCTTCTAAATTTCTTGCTGTGCTATATTATCAAATATTGAATTCAATATTTTTATCAACTTGTTTTCTTTCAATTAGCGCAGGTTTTGTATTTGGAACTGATGGATCGTTGGCCTTGCTGATCGGAACTTATACACCTCAGAGTGCACATTGCCAAAATTATCCACAAATAATGCTTTTCACTCAAGCTCAGATCAATCCAAAGAAATACAAAACCTGTGCTAATTAAAAGAAAACAAGTTGATAAAAAGATTGAATCCAATATTCAATATAACAATACAGCATAATTGGAGGTTTACAAGCAATATTTGAAAACACCGAAATAGTTAAAGGATTTTTTTTGCTGCAAAAGGATTAATAATGTAACGAGACCCTTAAAATTAGTTTTGCTAACATGTCATTTTGACTTAATAAAACTAGTTAAAGGGATAGTTCACCCAAAAATGAAAATTTGATGTTTATCTGCTTACCCCCAGGGCATCCAAGATGTAGGTGACTTTGTTTCTTCAGTAGAACACATGATGATTTTTAACTCCAACTGTTGATTAGCCGTCGTACCTACAATGTTTGTGCACTGTGTAAACAATGAGTGATGTATACGCGCGAGAGATCACTTCCGGCGCTTGCGTAAACTACGCCAGAGCGCGTACACACCTCACGCACCGGATGCCGTGCGCGCGCCCAAAGACAGTTGGACATAGTGGTGTATTAGAGGTAAAAAATTATATAAATACTGTTCGGTTTCTGGCACAAACCGATCGTTTCGTGTCTTAGGACATCAATGTGTCGTCACGAGCCGCAGGGTTTAATGTGGATTTGTGCATGTTTTTTTTACTCTCATAGATTTTGTTACCATTGCCATGCATTATACGACTGATAGACTGCAACGGTTAAAGTTAAAAATCATCATATGAGTTCTACTGAAGAAACAAAGTCACCTACATCTTGGATGCCCTGGGGGTAAGCAGAAAAACACCCAATTTTCATTTTTGGGTGAACTATCCCTTTAATTTTAATTTGTTAACATTTGATTGACTCTATTTGATTGCATAGTTTACAGAACAAAAGTGCTAAAATCTCACCCATATGGGCATTAACAAAGCCTGTTGTGGTCAGGAAGTCTCCTGTCAGCAGAAATTGGTGCTTATGTGAGTTTCCCGTGTTCTCCACTTTGGCTAGTGAAGGTGTTTGGAACTGAATGGAGCAGAGCACAAGAGAATCAGACTAATATGGTCACAGTGGAGCTCACACCTGCTTCCGCCAAGGGCAGCAAAGTTCAAGAGGTTCATTAAGTGGAGAGCATAGCAAGAACAAAATGAACAACAAAATCGTGAGAAATGAAATACCAACTTAGCAGGTGACCAATGTTGATTTTCATCATTAAAAGAAAAAAACAACGAGTTGAAATATCTTCACAAATAAAATTAAAAAACCTAGCCGGATATCTCAAATCCCTCAAAACTGACTTTAAATTCATATTTGTGTGGTGATTAAGGGATTTTTGCTTTCATAAGACCTCCCCCTCAGGGCCCATTACATTCAAAGGAATACAACAAAAGCACTGACAGCATCCTTTAGCGAGAGAGGGTGGCTGGACACAGAGGGGACAAAAGCCCTTTAGCGACCCCCTTGTGATCCCCCCCTTGGCCAAGCACATCCACAGGCATGCTTGACATTGTGGGAGGTGTGAACCATGAGGTCAGAGGTCAGTATGGGTCAAGTGGGGTGAAGCCATCATAGAGTCTTAATTGAGTTGGTGCTGTTGAATGAGGACGTGACAGTGGAGGGGCTCCATCTAGATCAGCTGATGGAGTGGGTCACTATTAAAGCTTATGTGAAGTGTGTCTGGATGTCTTAGGCCACGTATAGACATAATCATGACAGTTCTTGACATGTGCATGAGAAATTTTAGCCTACATCAAAGATTTGTACACATTACAGTTGTTTACAGTGGACTCCAAATTTTGATGATCATTGACTTGTTCTTAGATTTTACTCATTTAAATACCTTTTACAGACTCAAAAATGGGAAATATCCATTTATCAAATGAATGAAACTAGGGACGGACCAATACTGAAATTCTTTCCTATACCAACAAGAAAATATTATTGATATAATGATACTTTTTTTTCAGGCTGATAACTCTATAAATCTACTTTATTCAGTTAAAAATATATATAATAACTTATAGGCTGTTTATAATAGGCTATAGTGTTTAAAATGTTGCAAATGTTTAATATTTTGAATAATAAATTAAATACATTTAAATTAGTGCTAGATGGTGATTTAAATCATAGGCAGAATCAAGTCAGAAATGATTAAAAATCCAAAATCAATGGATAAATAATATGATAAATAATAATAATAAATCGTCAACATGCCAATATACTCTTCTCAGTCACAGGCCACCTTATAAATCTAAATCTAAAAAATATTAATATAAACATTGTCTAATCACAGTGCGGGTCAATCAGGAGCTTATGGAATGTTAAAGTATCGGAGTTTAGTGTCAGTCGTCAAACGCACATATTTCTCCAAGAAATAAAAAGAGAAAGGAAGGAGAAGATATTTTAAGTTCAAAGAAGATTTTGGTTTATTCATTTGG